AACATAGAACCTTGGATCAAAAGAAATATGTCAATCTGAGATATTACTCATTCCTTCAGGCATTGATTCTGAAAAATATTTATGGAGCACACTATGTACAAGGCACTAAGATTGTGGGAGAGGATGCAGACATGGACCTTTCGGGGCATGTTATAGATACTAGATAGAAATTGACAGGGCCGCCCCTAGAGTGTGAGGGCCCTGGGAAAACATTTTTGGCAGAGCTTCTGTTCAGATAAACAATTTGAGTTACCCTAAATCAGCATAATAACACCACTCTAGTGGTCCGGTCTCATGTGGCTCTTTGAAAGAAATATTAAACAGGCTGAGGAGTGATCAACTCCTGGAATAACTGAGTAGGCACAAGTCCTGGATCATCTGGCCAGCCCCACACTGGTGCAGAGGATAAGAAAGTGTCCTTAAAGGAGAGAAATGGGGCCTGGAGAGCATGTAGGTGTTGGTCTAAATGCTGGGTGCTTCACCTGGACAGGACCATGTGGTCTCAGGTACAAAAGGTGAATTAGAAAATTTGGAGGAAGACACTACAAATAGCCACTGGACCAGGTGCCACTTGCCTGGGTCTAAGGACAGTACTGGAAATTAATAAGGATGAGGTTTCTTCATGCTGGGGAGCATTCATGGGCTCTTGACAAGTGGAGTCTGGAGAAAAGGCAGGATAAAGGCAGGCAGCAGAGCCCAGTCTGTGGTTTAGCTTCTTACCCTTAATAGTGTCTTTCACAGAGTACTTTTAATTTTGATGAAGTCAAATTTTATCAAAATTATAATTTTTTTTTTAAGTGAGAATAGCCTTCATGGAGCTGGATTGTGGGCCTAAGGCTCTGAGGGGTGGGAGGTGAATTTACTCTATAGTTAATCCACAGAGCAGTGGCAAAAGGAAGTCCCAGGGAAGCGGGGAGCTGTGACTTGAAATGGTCAAACAATATGTCACCTGGGGCAAGGTACGGCCAAAGACTGAGAGGATAATAATTTCCTTCTTGACTGCCAATATTCTTGCTACAACACTTCCACTAGGGCAGAGGGACCCTCCGCTATCCTATAAGTTACCATTTATACAGCACTTGTACATACACGCACTGTTCTACGGACTTTACATGTATAAACACATTAAAATTGTGTAACAACTATTATTACTCTATTAGGAGATAACATTTTTATACCTATTTAACAGAAGAGGAAAGTGAGCACAGAGAAGTTAAGTAATTGGCCCAAGGTCACACAGCTAGAAAGTGGCAGAGTTAGGATATAAGTAAAGCTCATGTTGGATAGTTAGGATATAAATAAAGCTCTCTACATTGACCCCCTTGCTGTTCATTGAACATGGCAAGGTTGTTCCCACATAGGGTGACTGTTGCCCATGGCTCAGAAGAGTCTGGGCTCATGTGATGTATTTCAGGAGTTGGCAGACTACAGTGTGAGGAACAAATTTGGTCCATTGCTTGTTTTTATAAATAAAGTTTTATTGAAACACAGTCATAATCTCTCATTTAGGTATTTCTATGGCTGCTTTTATGCTACAATGGCAAAATCAAGCAATCGCTACAGAGACTTATGGCCTGCAAAGCCAAAACTATTTCTTATTTGGCCTTTTATGAAAAAGTTTGCCTTTGTGTTTGATGGCATTAGCATAAGGTAGATGGTTACTGAAGGTCTGAGTTCTCCAAGGGAAAAATGGACGGAAGAATCAAAGAAAGTTGGCATGGAGAGAAAAATCAAAGAGAGAGAGTTGGCATGAACTCTATTAGGCAGGATGAGGAAGCACAACAAAGAAACAGAAGACATTATTATTAGATGTAATAATATCCAATTCTATGCAAGGGCTTTTATTTTTTTAATGATAGTTGTAAACTGAGTCAGATTTCAAATATAGGGGGTGGTCTTTGAAAGAAAGGTACTTGCAGAATTATTTTGTAAAACAAAAATTCTTTGGAAAATGCAAAGAAATTCCCCATTATGTGTCCATTTTGCAAGTTTGGATTTTATTATGTTTAGTTTCCTTATGAAAGTGAAGCTCTTTAGAAAGAAGGATTTAGTTTGGATTTTATTATGTTTAGTTTCCTTATGAAACTGAAGCTCTTTAGAAAGAAGGATTTTTCATTTACTCACTCATTCATTCATTCATTCAATGTACTGAATGACCTGGTGCTGGGCTAGGCAATAAGGATAGAATGGTGGACCTCATGAAGTACACAAGTTTATTGAGGGGTTTTGATGAGTAAACTAACAGTGACAGTGTTGAACCCAGAGTTAGCAATGGTAATTCAGAAACAAATAGAAGGAGGCTTCTGGGCAGTGGTATGTCTGTGCGTTGGTGGGTTTTGGAGATCTTGGAAGGCTTCCTTGAGGAAGGAATACCTAGGCTGAGACATGAAGGTCCATCAGGCAGCAGCTAGGTACAGGAAGAGGGGTGGGGTAAACCCAGTGGGGGAGGAAAGGTATTTGAGGCTGAGAAAAAAGCACGAACAAAGTTCCTATGGCATGTTGGGGGAGACTCAGGTAGTTTAGTGACACTGGAGAGTGATTCCCATTGGAAGGAAAGCGGTGGTGGGAAAGAAGAGCTGAGAGATGACATGAAAGGTGAGCAGAGGCCAATAATGAAGGGTCTTTAAGGCTTTGCTAAGGAGTTTCGCCTGTATTTGAGGATAGTGGGAGTTTGCAGGGAGATTTTAAGGAGTGTGACCTGACATGACTTGTAGAGTAGAAAGATAGCTCCAGCTGCAGGGTGGAGAGTGGATTGAGGATAGGAAGAGGATCGACACCAGCTAGGAGTAACTGCAGCGATGAAGTAGACTGAACAAATAATATAAAGAAAGGCAAACCACTTGGACTTGGGCATAGATCAGATATAAAAGTAAAAGGGGAGAAGAGAAAAGCAGGAGGCTAGTATAACTTGCTAGAGGACTGTGCTATTCATAAAGAAGAGAACAGAGGAGCTGGGGCAGTAGTTTTTTCGATGATGGTGGGGGAAGGTGATGAGTGCAACTTTGGGTGAGTTGAATCTTTGAGGTGCCCTTTGGACATCCACTGGAGAGGTCCTTAGACAAAAGGGTTTATGTGTTAGTGGCCCAGGAAAAGGTTAAAAATGTAGATGAGTGAGTTGTCAGTATAAGGACATTACTTGAAATCATTGGAGTGGTGAAAGTTTCCCAAGGAAGGATGTTCAAGTAAGGGGAGGAGAGAGGACAAGGATGAAATCCTTGGAATACCATCATTGAAAAGGCGGTCTTCTGAAATGAAACCTACTAGGACAACATGTCCATGGAATTAGAAGGAAAACAAGAATGTCACAGAAACCGAGGGAAGAGAATCTTACGAGAAGGGAGGAGTCATGCAAAATTAAAGAACAGTCAAGAAGTAATAAAGCCTGGAGAGTGTCCATTTAATTTAACAACCAAGAAAGCATTGGGAGCTTGGGTTGTGGAGTTTCGGTGGAGTGATGAGAGTAGCAGCTATATTTCAGTGAAATGAAGATGAATGAGAGGTGAGGAAGTATAAGCAGTAGGAACAGACAACTCTTTTCGAGAAGCTTGGCTGTGAAGGAGAGGTAGAAGATGGAAGGATGGCTGGAGGGGGACGTGGGCTAAGAGAGGGTTTCGTAACACAGGAGCAATTTGAGCATGTTTAAATGCTAATGGAAAGGAGTCAGGGAAGAAGAGAAGAGGGGTGATCAGAAAGAGCACAATCTCTGAGGAGGCAGGAGGAAGAAGACTCCAAGCCTCGTGCAGAGGTCTGCCACAGTGTTGGTAGGAAAGGAGAAAGAAGTGGTTATGCGTGCTGGTCAGTGTGTTGGTATGGTAACAGGGAGTAGAGAATTTTCACTTGGCGGTTCTATTTTTTCTCTAAAGTTGGCAGGGAGATGATCTCCAGAGAGCAGGAAAGAAGGCAATAGGATAGCAAATTTGAGAGGAATGGTTATTGTAGAAATGGGAGAGAAAGCTAATTAAGAACACAGGATTGCTGGGGAGGGCTGAGGGCTGAAGTGAGGTTGGAGACCAGCACACTAATAGCTCCAACCCATGTGGTTGGTAATTTTATGCTCAACAGCCTGGATGAAAGAGCCACAAAGGAGAATGGTTTCACTGAATTTAGGCAGGTGTAATCAAAGAATAGTGGGCAAGAGAGTCGATATTAAGGAATGAGTGATTTAAAAAATGGCTCATAGGGATTCCATGTTGGGTAGAGAAAGAAATGATGACTGGGGAAGCTTGAGGGTAGACGGAGAACTCAAGGGTCTGGTGGAGTTAAAGAATAAATAGTGTAGGAGTGAAAGTAGGAGAGGCAGCCACAGGGCGATCCATTAGAGTGAGTGTGTGAATTTACGGTTTCAGAGGTAGAGCAGTACCCAATAATGACACATCAAGGGTGTCTGAAGTACAGTGGGAATGGGGTCAGTGAGGAGGTAGTGACAATGAGCTTCTAAGGTCTGGGCTGGCTCATCCACATTGGTGAAGGGAAGATTTGAGGTAAGGAATATTGTGAGTCCAGGGCTAGGGTCTTCAATGAGTGAGGGGGAGTGGGCCTCAGGTCGAGAAAAGACAAGGATGAGTTTGGGGTAAACATTGGTGAGTGCTTGCTAATCACTAATGAATACATGAATGCATGAATCAGTGAAAAAGTGAGTGAATGAATGCACTAACTCAGATCAGTCTGGCACATTCTGGAAAAATCTAGCCAGAAATCCTGAGATCCCAGAAGAAGTTACTAGGCTCAGAGAGGCTCAGAGAGGGCAAGTTACTAGGAGCGCACAGGTTTCAGGTTATCATAAGAGTTAAATGTGGACAATTTTTTTCAACCTATCCTATCCGAGAGGCTGTCTGAGACTTCTAGACCTGCACAGATTGTAGCTACTGAGCACTTGAAATGCAGCTTGTTTGAATTAAGATGTGCTGTCCATGTAAAACACATGCTGGATCTCAAAGACTTGGTACAAAAAAATTTTTAAAGAACTTAAAATATTTCATTTTTAAATATTGATGACATGTTGGAATGCTAATTCTTTAAAACATATGGGGTTAAATTAAACATATTATTAAAATTAATATAATTAATGTCACCAGCTTCTTTTAAAAAAGTTTTTATGTGAGGCTACCAGAAAATTTTAAATTACATATGTGGTTCACATTATAGTTCTCTCGGGCAGCATTGCTCTAGGCCTTGGTCTGCAACCATGAAGGAAGCATTATGCCGCCCTGTAGTCAACCAATGAATAAAGGCAGCCTCGGTGTTAAACTTCCATATGTACCTGTTGGCATAAGTAAAATTTGAACCCTCAAGGGCTTAAATTTCCTACATACAGAAAATTTGCCTCTAAAAAAAACATTTTAAATCCCTCAAAGTATTGCAAAACCTCTCACTTGCCCCATTAGATTGGTCTGCACCATTGACATCACTCAGTGGTTGAAACAGATGTTTATCATTGCCTCCACTGTTATCACAGTTGGGGTGAACTGAGGGGCTCATCCAGGCTCTTGGAAAATTTCTGACATAATGAGGCTGCAGATGATGCAAATTATACTTGTAATTTTCCTTTGACTGGGGAAGGCTGAGGCTGCACTCCAGGCCAAGACTTCTTAGCATCGGCAGTTATGGCTTGCTTACCAATACTTATGGCTTGCTTACCAATACTTCTTATGGCTTGCTTACCAATACTTATGGCTTGCTTACCAATACTTCTTAGCATCGGCAGTTATGGCTTGCTTACCAATACTTACCAATGCACTCCAGGCCAAGTCTTCTTAGCATCGGCAGTTATGGCTTGCTTACCAATACTTACAGTTCGGAAGACCCTTATTTCTGCCAGGGATTGTGGAAGATGACTTTATGTTAGTAGCCAGAACTGTTTTTGGCCTAAAATTTAAAAATATAATTGTAAACACTTAGAGCTTAACTTGGGTTGGCACAGTGAGGAAACTGAGGCTCCAAGAAGTTAGGTAACCTGAGAAATTCCACAGGTAGGCAGTCACAAAGCCAAGATCTGAAGTCAGGTGGTCTAACTCCAAAGCTTGTGATTCTCACATTATCCTACACTTTCTAACAGAGCTGATTATGGATCCAGAAACAGAAAGAGAGCAGCCTCGCTTAACTGGCCTCAAGAAAAGCCTCTGAAAGGACATGGCATCAGTTGGTTTAATGCATTTTGCCCATATATGCATTGAATAGCCCAGCTGAGGCTAGGTCCTTAGTAGAGGTTCCCAAACCATTTATTAGAATAACTTGGTCAGTGTTTAAGGGCCCCACCCCAGACCCGCTGAATCAAAACCTGGGGAGTAGGGAATAGGAATTTGTATTTTTTAAGACATTTTCTGGGTGGATAAGGAAACTCTAATTTCACAAAATAATAAAAGGTCTCTAGTTAAGTACTTTGATTTAGGATCTGATTTGGAACATGGACTTCTGGGTAACTATTGGGACAAAATGGAAGAAAAATACATGGAAGGTTTGCTTCAGCCACATCAAAGGAGTAGACCTGACTTTGGGGGCTCCTTAGGTAACATTTGTGCACTAGCTTCCAAAAGGTTTCTCAAACTTCAGATTAACCCCTGGGGTCTCTGCTTTATCTCAGGCCAAGGCATGAGTGTGGTTACCTAAAGGCAGACACTTCTCTAGAGCTAAGGAAAAACAGTGGAAAAACCACAGTACTGACTCTCCTTCCTTTTAGCCTTTCAGTGTTATGATGTACCCAGCTGGTCCAGGATCTGGTGACTCCCCAGAAGGCTTCCCTGAACAACCGAGGCTCCAGCCACAAATTGGAAATTGCACAGCTCAGACACTGGGTACTGAAATTGGTAGTATTATACAGTCCTTCCTTCTTCAGAGTGTGGTTGGAGCAGAAGATTTGGGTGGGGATAGGGAAGAGAGACTCAAAGAGGTCTTTGGGTAGCATAGAATTAATAGAAGACCTGGCCTTCGTTCAGTGACATATGCTTTGTTCAATCCCTCAACAAAGATTTATGTGCCTGATACTGTTGTAGGCACTAGAGATACCTCAATGAAAACCAACCAACCAACCAACGAACCAACCAGATTTGGTCTCTGCCTTTGTGGAAGTTCTCCACCCCACCCATCCTTTCTCGACTCCCTTACCAAGTGGACATCCTTTTTTTTTTTTTTTTTTCCAGATTAGGTAAAAAGAGGGCCCCTTTGGAACAGGATGAGGAAGAACAAAATTTGTGACCTAGTATCTGAGCTGGGGAAGACAGTAGAGTCAAGAAAAAAAGAAAAATGGGGAAGAATTTACTCTCTCTTATGGACTGGGAAGGGTGAGATTATAGAAGTCAGGGCTTGGTGACTCCTTAGAGAAAGTCCAGCCCTTCATTTTACATATAAGAAAAGTGAGGGGTGAAGAGATTATACGGTGGAACCCTAATTAGGCGCTTGATTTCAAACCAAGGCATTTGGATGGTCCCTGGGGGCGGGAGGGGGCAGGCCACGCCCGTTGCCATGGGAACAGGAATCCCCCGCCCGCGCGAGAACTCGTGGAGTCCTTGGCTCCTAATAAAGTTGTTGTTGAAGCTCTGCGGTACCACGTGAGCCAGCCCGGAGGTGGAGCCGGGGGCGGGGCGAGTCCGGGGCGGGGCGGAGCTCCCGGAGAACAGGCGGCCTGCGGCGAGGAGGGGCGGTGGGCGCAGGCGCGGTCGGCAGGCCGGCCATGATCGCGTCTTGCTTGTGTTACCTGCTGCTGCCGGCCGCGCGCCTCTTCCGTGCCCTCTCAGGTACTGGCCCCGCGTCCTGACAGGCGGGAGCCAGGCCCAGGCCGGCCCCGCGGGGCCTGAGGCGGCGTGCGGCGCGTTGGGCCTCAAGACCACCTTCCCCCGGCAGCGCCAAGGTGTGAGGAGGTGGCCCTCGGCCTTGGTACCAGTCCTGGATTCCATGGGGCCCAGGCTTGGCTGACAACCTCGAGGGAGGCGCCTGATCACGCCTGTGGCCTGGTGTCGTTGGGCCACAGTTAACGCGGAGGGGGGCTGGGGAAGAGGCAGAGGCCGCCCCTCCTTGGACCCTGGGGTGCAGAGGGGCTTTTGAGGTCCGCTAAGTCACTGCCCTGGGGGTGTCGCAGAGGGTTGGTGACTCGGGGCCAAGGCGAATCCCCGAATTCTCTGGGTAAGGCCTATCGGCCCTGAGGTATGTTGGGGCTGAAGACTGGACGACCCTGTCCTCTACCTGGGTTAACTCCACACTCACCTTTCACAGCTGCCTCTCATTCTCCTCTCTTGGAGAAGTCTGGTTGAAAAACAGATGCTCAGCCTCATTTAAACCTCATCTCTGAAAGCAGTCTCCTGTGCTTTTAGAGATGAGGGGTGGAAGCCCAGTAGATACTTAAGATAAGAGTGGAAAGAGTTCACTTTTTCTGGATCTGCCTGCTCTTTTCAGTCCTGGCCTTTAAACACCTGAGGCTCTTCTGAGACCTGTTAGTTCCTCCCAAAGATCCCACAGAACTCCCAAACTTTTCTCTGGCAATTTAGGTAGCCAGAAGTAGTTTCTTAGAAATAAGGGGTGCTGCTATGCATTCTGTGCTTTTTGTTTCTGGAATGTTTCACTGTGTGTGTAATTTATATTACATAATATATGTATATTTCATAAAAAATATATATTTCTGTCTGCTACTAGAATGCAAGCTCCAGGAGGGCAGGGTCATGTCTGTTTTGCTCACTGTGTCTCTACTGCTAACTGCTCAGAATATAGTGGGCACTCAATGTAGGAATGGCTCGTGTGTACATACTTCTGAGGAATGAGAAGCTCTACAGAAGTAATTGTTTTCAGAGAACTAAAGCATTTTCCTGCTGTCATTTCTGGAACTTTTCCATTGTCCAGCCTTAGTGACATATACGAGTCCAGAGGTTTCTAGACTATTGTTAGAATTTTAGGGATCTCAGAAGGGGCCACCTCCTCCTATCCTACCCCCTCCCCCACACCCATTAAAGTAGTCCTACTTGTATTAACTTTATGTATTTGGTTTCTACAGTTTTTCTTTTCTTTCTTTTGTTTAATAAAAGCATTCTGCTGCTGAAAAACAAGCCACCACCACACATGTAAACAAAAGAACCTCTACCATCTGGTGTACATAGAAGATGTTTCAAGGAGCAGGGAATTAGCCAGTCCCTGAGACTAAAGCCAGCACCGAGTCCATGGGTTTAAAGCAAGGTTTCTCAGTCTCAGCACTTTTGACATTTGGGCCTGGATAGTTTGTTGTGGGGCTGTCCTTCGCACTGTAGGATGTTCAGCAGTATCCCTATTCTCTAACCACTAGATGCCAGTGGCATCCCTACAGTTGCGACAACCACAGTGTCTCCAGACAATGCCAAATGTCTCCTAAAAGCAAAATCACCCCAGGTTTAGAGAGACATAAATCCATATAGGCTGTAAATAAGATAGTGTCTTTCAACATTTAAGCCATTCTGATGTTTTTCTTGCCTTTAAAAAAAGTAGAGCTGATAAAATGAATCTCTGGTAATTGGAAGTCAGCATCATGCGTGTCACTTGCCCTGTGCCATAAATCAGTGATTTAGTGTGTAGGGGGTGTTTGCTTGCACCAAAATACTATGCTTGGATTTTGGGGGCTTTAATTTTAGAGTTTTTCCCACCTTTCTTGCCTGTTGGCTGTCATTTGTGGCTGCTGTAGCAGAGATGACAGCTGTCTCTTCCTATCAGTTGTTGGCACCTTTTGATTTACAGACTCTGTTGTGTTATGGAATGGGAAAGCTAATAATGAAGTTTATGACTTACGAGCAGAATAAATCTCTTTGAGAAGAGGATCAAGGTCCTTTGTTAAGTAAATTGTATAGATTTTGAGACACCTTTTGTCTACTTTGGGACTTTTTCTTTTGGAATGCACTCATAGATTAGGGGATTTAAGAACTAGAAAAGCTTTTGGAGATTATCTAATTCAAACTTCCCTTGTCCCCATTTTATAGTCAAGAGTGAGTCCATCTCACTGAGGGCACTGTCCAAGGTCACAGTGTTGTTAATTTCAGTGCTAGGCCATAACCCACAGTTCTGATTCATGGTCAAGTTCTGGTTCCAGTGTAATGTGGTTCTCAGAACAGAGAGTTGATATTTAATAGTAGTTTTAACCTCTAGCTGAAGAGGTGCAGTTATATATGACTATCTCCATCCTAGATTATGTGGGCTAGCCATTCTTTCATTCCTGCACTGAACATATATCAGATTCCTACCATATAAATTAGTTAATTCTTGTAAAACCGTGCCTGGCACAAGGTAAGCACTTTGCTCTGATGATGATGTTCCAGGCACTAAAATGGGCAGTCTCAGTGATGGATCAATGATGAGCAAGATGCATATGATTTCTTGCTTATATGGGATTCACATTCTACTTGAAAGAAGAGTGTGGGGTGGGGTGATGCTGTCTTATAACATGGTATTTTGGCTTTCTTCTTAGATGCTTTCTTCCCATGTCGAAAAAATGCCCTTTTGGCGAAGAGCTCGTCCTCCCAGGTAGAGGGTGACTTTGCCATGGCACCTCGGGGCCCGGACCAGGAAGAGTGTGAGGGCCTGCTGCAGCAGTGGCAAGAAGAAGGGTCGAGCCAGGTGCTCTCAACTGTGAGCGAGGATCCCCTAGTAGATAAGGGACTAGCCCAGAGCAGCCTGGCACTTCTGATGGATAATCCCGGAGAACAGGATGCTACTTCAGAGGACAAGTGGTCAAGCAGGCAGCTGAGTGACCTGCGGGCAGTAGAGAACCTGGAGGAGCCTTGCCCTGAGGTGCTAGGAGACGAGGCACTGCCAGAGGTTGAGGGCCCAATGTGGGCAGCTGTCCCCATGCAGTCCGGCCCCCAGTATGCAGACTGTGCTGTCCTCTCAATGGGTGCCCTGGCTGCAGAGCAGTGGGAAGAAGACCCTGCAGTGGTGGCCTGGAGCATAGCACCTGAGCCTATGCCCCAGGAAGAGGCTCCCATCTGGCCCTTTGAGGGCCTCGGGCAGTTGCAGCCACCCCCAATGGAAATTCCTTATCATGGTGAGTCTGACAACTGAGCAAACCAGGGTAGCAGGTTGTTGTGGGTGTGGGCAGAGCCATCACTAAAGAAGATTTTCGGTGGGGAGCTCTGCCGCTACATTCTGTTTTTTGAGAATCTTGCAGTGTCAGATCTAGAGGGGCCTTAGAGATCATCTCATCCAGCACCATGGTCTTTCAGATGAAATAACCCCAGTGCAGAAAGGTAGTGGGACATGCCTAAAGTCACGTAGCTTGGTAGTGGCAGAGCAGAAAGCAGACCCTAGTTCTGATTCTCCGTTCTGTTGTTTCTCTGGAGGTGACCCAAGGGCTTTCTGGGGGGAGGGACGGAGAGCTCTTGGGCCTCCACTCTTTGCCTCAACCAGAATAACTCCAGTTTTATCTGTGGTACATATAGGGCTTCCATTAAAATTTGAAGAATGAGTTCTGTGGCTCAAATAGGTTTGAAATTTACTCTGCAGCTCCGTGTCTGGGAGGTGGGGAATACATTGTGGTTTCTACCCAGACTCTTCCAGGTTTAGAGGTTAGAAAACACCCAAGACCGAGATTGCTCTAGAAATGGCTTTAACCTCAGTTGACTTATGTATATTCATCTGAGTGATTTCCCCAGAGACCCATGGATTTGTCACAAGTGAGAAATTACCAGCCTGTGTTTATTGAACATGTACTAGGTGCCAGGTACTGGACATACAGCCCTGAACAGGCCAAGATTATCTCTGGTTTTGTGGAGCTTACTGTCTAGTCTGAGAATGTCCTTAGAATGCTGTTTAAATTGCCACAGAGAGGGATGGGTGACATGGGATATGAAAAATGGAACTTCAGATACTATCACTGAATCGTGAGTGGGGACGGCAGGGGCCTGTGGGTTACATGTACTTGTGGACCTTTTCTTCCTGACCCCTTTGCAGAAATCTTGTGGCGAGAATGGGAGGATTTCTCTACTCAGCCAGATGCTCAGGGCCTGGAGGCAGGGGATGGGCCTCAGTTCCAGTTCACGCTGATGTCCTATAACATCCTGGCCCAGGACTTGATGCAGCAGAGCTCCGAGCTCTATCTGCATTGCCACCCAGACATCCTCAATTGGAACTATCGTTTTGCGAATCTCATGCAGGAATTCCAGCACTGGGACCCTGATGTGAGTGAAGAGAGGGAGAAGTGCCATCTTGCATTTGCCCTGCAAGTTGCGCTGTTTCCCAGTGCTCTTAGAAAAGGAATTCATTCCCATTGTTGTTCTGGAGTCTCCGTGTGACTGGAGTCTTGCCTAAGGCTGGAGTTTCCTGCCTGGAGTAAATGAGTTTTTGGCAGATGCTGAGAAGACTCTCCCTAGGTGCACTTTCCAGCATCTTTATGCAGAGAAGGAGACTTGAGGGATTTAAATAGCAGGAAAATCCAGTGCATGTGTCCGGTCTCCTCAGCTTAACTCTGGGCTGGCTGGGAAGAGTCAACCCAGTGCATGTGTCCGGTCTCCTCAGCTTAACTCCGGTCTCCTCAGCTTAACTCTGGGCTGGCTGGGAAGAGTCAACCCGGGCAGGGAAGTTTCAGTGTGACCCTGTCTGAGACCCACAATGCCTGCTCTTGGAGTGGGAGTCACATTCAGCACTCTGGGTATTCTGGAGTGATTGGTTTCCTTGTCAATTTCCCAGATCCTGTGTCTCCAGGAAGTCCAGGAAGATCATTACTGGGAGCAGCTGGAGCCCTCTCTGCGAATGATGGGTAAGGCAGCTCCCTGGCATGTTTGTCAGTCTTTCTTCCTACAGCTCTTTCTGCTCTCTCCTGAAGACACCATCTTTTTTCTTTTGTCGCAGTAAACCCGCAGTGAGCGAGCTAGATCCTTTGTGGCTGAGAAAGAAAGTAGAGTTCTGCAGTTTTAAAGCAATTGTGACACATATTGTTGTTTAGTCCTTGAATTAATCAACCCTGTGAGATTGAGTATTATCCCCATTTTGCAGTAAGGAAACAGGTTCTCAAAAGTTTTGTGACTTGCTCAAGGTCACAAAGCTACAAAGCTAGTAAGTTGTGGAGCTAGGATTCCAGCTTGTCTGACTTTAGATTCCATGCTTTACTTATGAACTTATATAGCTTCATACCCTTCTGTCCTTCCCCTTAGAGCCTCTTAGTTATCTGGTTAGAACTGTAAGGGAACCTCTGCAGAACCAAGGAATTGGCAAAGGCAAGGACTCCCCTTTGAGCAACAGAAGCAATGCATTATGCACACACACCTGGGTTACTGCCACTGGTTGGAGGGATTCAGGCTTCCAGGACTCTGATCCATCTCCTTGGCTGGGTGTTCCTTGCAGGCTTTACCTGTTTCTACAAGAGGAGGACCGGGTGTAAGACGGATGGCTGTGCTGTCTGCTACAAGCCCACGAGATTCCGTCTGCTCTGCGCCAGCCCTGTGGAGTACTTCCGGCCTGGCTTGGAGCTCCTCAATCGGGATAATGTAGGCTTAGTGTTGCTGCTGCAGCCACTAGTCCCAGAAGGCCTGGGGCAAGTCTCAGTGGCCCCACTATGTGTGGCAAATACTCACGTTCTGTACAACCCACGCCGGGGTGATGTCAAGCTGGCCCAGATGGCCATTCTGTTGGCTGAAGTGGACAAGGTGGCCCGGTTGTCAGATGGCAGCCACTGCCCCATCATCTTGTGTGGGGACCTGAATTCCGTCCCTGATTCACCTCTCTACAACTTCATCAGGGATGGAGAGCTCCAATATCATGGGATGCCAGCCTGGAAGGTGAAATGGGGGAGGCCACTGTGGGGGTGGGAGCGTGGCATAGGGAGAGATTCGGGTGTAGGCGTCCAATGCTGCTTCTGTGGCAGGATCTCCATTATACCTGTTCTGGCTCCTTCTTGCTTTCTTGTGCCCAAAGCCTGGAAGTTAGGAACTCTTGAGTGCCTTTGGCATATTGGAATCCTTTTAGTTTTTGTTTATAAGTAATACGTAAGTACATTCTTGCAAGAATTCAAACAAAATAAGGCCAAAGCTCCTTATTACCTATATTCTCTACGTCTCCCTTTAGAGTCAAGTAATAATTGAAGTTTGGTGGTGGTCTTCCAGGTCATTTTCTGTGCATTTACAGTGATAATCTGTGGTCCTGTGATAATGTAATCTAATCATAATTTACATTTATTAAGCACTTACTGTGTGCCAGCTGCTATTTTAAGCACTTTACATGTATTAACTCATTAATTTTGACAGTTTCTATTGCTTCCATTCTATAAATGAGGAAACTAAGGCACAGAGAAGTTAGGTAATTTTCTTACTCTAGATTATGCAGGTCGTTAGTGGTGGAGCCAGGATTTGTAACCAGATGGTCTGGCCCCAGAGCTCTTGCCCTCCAATACTATGCTGTGGTTGCTTCTAACAGGTGATATATAATCTTATCGTGTGTGTTTATAAACATATATTACTATTTCATTTTGTAGCTTGGTTTATTTTCACTCAACAATGCATATATGGATCTATCTCATTCCTTTTAACTGCTGAATGTTGATAGCATATATACCTCCTAGTTTATCAGTTTATTTAGCCACGCTGATGGGCAGTCAGCCTATGCTAATTTTTTATAAGCTACTTAATATTCCTGTTCCTTTGTTTTGCCCCTCCTGATCCAACTTAATGCTTAACTTTTGGCATAGTGGAGAAAGGACACAGAATGACTGAATTACTGTTGAGCACTTCGGGTTTTTATTTTAATGAGGTTACTCGAGTGCCAGCAATGTCCTGATTGCCACGTGTGCAGAGAAAGGCATTATCCTGCCAGAAAGTTGCTATAATCAAGGCGCTCAGGGAATAAGGAAAATAATTTACTAAGTGCCTAACTTGTGACAGGCACAGTTAGGTGTAGTGATTAATAGTACTCATTTAGAAGCCAGACCGTCCTGAGTTCAAATCCCTGATCTGCCACCTTGGGCAAGTTGCTTAACTTCCTCAAGCCCCATTTGCCTTATTTATACGCTGGGAATATAATGGGATCTCAGAGGATTTTTTGTTTGTTTGGTGGATTAAATAAAATAATGCACAGAAAGTATTTTCCAGTTTCTGCTTCAAAGGAAGCAGTCGATAATTTGATAGTGGTTATTATTATCAAGATTCTTAATTATATGTGGTATTATTATCCCATTTTGTGGTAGAGGATATTGAACCCAAGAAAGTTAACTAACTTGACCAATGTCACACAGCTAGTAAATGGCCATTAAATTCCAGATCTGTTTTACTTTAGAGGGCATATTGGAAATAGGTCCTGTAAGGGCAGAGATTGTATCTATTAATGCTCTCTCCCCAGTACTTAGCTAGTGTCTTGCACATTCAAATATTTGTTGTTGTTAAATGAAATGAAGGGAATTTTGCTACACATGTTGGAGATATACAGATGACTGATATTGCCGAATGTTTCCCCTACTACGTTCTGTCCATTCCCAGGCTGCTCATTGGCTTTGACCGAGGATGGTGACATAGATACGGTAAAGTGCTTTGGTGCATTTCCCATTTGGTTTGACCCTGTGGTTTCCCACTAATAGGCTTAAGATGCTAGACCTTGATTCAGAAGATCCAAAGATCAGGATAAACCTTTTCCCATTGCACCTTAAAGCCCCTGAAAGTTGATATTCCCTGTGGAGAGTCATGAAGAGTTTTTCTGAGGTGAAACTCAGAGGGCCACATACTCATAATTGTTCTATTCTCTTTGATTCACATACCTCACTCTCTTATCCCTCATTCCTGTCTCATGGACATTTCAGTGTTTCTAGTAAAAAAAAATAATGGTTTTAATTAGCTCCTCATTTTTAACCTTCCCCTAAGACTTACATGTTTTGCTTAAATTATGTATGTATGTATTGCTTATATTATGTATGTAGTGTGTGATTTGTATGTGTGTTTATGTCCACGTGTCTCAGAACATGGGCTATTTCTCTTTTCCGTCTCAGTTTCCTCATTCCCACCTGTTCTTTCCTTGTAGGTGTCTGGACAGGAAGACTTCTCCCATCAACTTTACCAGAGGAAGCTACAGGCCCCACTATGGCCCAGCTCCCTAGGCATCACAGATTGCTGTCAGTATGTCACCTCCTGTCACCCTAAGAGATCAGGTGAGCATGTGTCACATTGTGGTTGGCTGTGCCTCCTTGCCCATTTTGGGAGAAAGCTGGCACTTCAATGAAGAAAAAGTATAATCCCCTCAATTCTCTTAGCAAGTTCCTTTGTTTTCCTCACTATCCTCCTCATGGTCACCCAGTGAAATGGACAACTTTAAATCATAGCTGTTGGAAAATCTCATCTTTAGAGCCAGACTTCTCTCGTCCCTACGCTGGAAGCGTCTTGATATTAAGGCGGTCTCAGCATGTGACTCCTCTTCCTTTCTTTCACTGTGTGTCTTTTCCTGGTTTACAGAGAGACAAAAGTATAGCCGAGACTTCCTGCTACGTTTCCACTTCTGCAACATCGCCTGTCAGCGACCAGTAGGGCTGGTTCTTATGGAAGGAGTGACAGATGCTAAGCCAGGTAATGGGAACTAAGCTTGTTTTCTTGGCCTTCTTTCCTCTACACCCCTGATATTTATGTAGTCAATTATGTAGTTTCTTAGTCTTTCCTGGGTATAATTATAAGAGATCAGCTTCTGGTAATAAGTATGCTTAAAAGGAAGGTCAGTGGAGTTCTGTGGCCATATTCATGCATGAATGTGCAGTATAGTGAGAACACGAACCAGGAATCAAGACTTGGGTTCTAACCAGCTCTGAGACCTTGAGTAAGCCACTTAACTTTTTTAGGCTTAAGCTGCTAATTACTAGCATGTGTACAGCATGTGGGAGACAAGATACAACTTTGAAAATCATAAGGTGACAGTGGTCCTGGTTGTACTAAAAAGTTACTCCTACTGAGAAGTTCTGGGTTAAACACAGCAGAGTTTACTTGACATTCTACCCTTCTTATCTCTGAAACTCCGAAGCAACAAGGAGAATTTTAAAAAATGTAAATTCCATCTTTGAGAAAACTAGGAGATCTGAGGATATCTGAAACCATGAACCACAACACAAGTGGAATGGCTGCAGGAAGCACTGGAGATCACGCTGGACGAAGTATGGAGAGAGTTGTGTGTGGGGTATGTGGATCTCAAAAAGAACCAGCAGAGTATGTTTCTCTAAGGTGAGGAGTGTACCTTGAGAAACAAAACCAAAATCCTTATTTTGTCAACAAGAGAAAGATGCACAGGTTGTGATAGTAGATTGTCTGAATCTGTTTTAGGCCTAAGAGGAAGTGGAGGAAAGACTGATCAAGGAATCAAGCCATATTTACATTAAGCAGTCTGTTTCAGTTATGGGGGTGGGGAGTTGGGGGTGGGTAGATAGGATACTTACAGAGCTGTATATCTCTTTTGGCTGAGGAGAAGTAAAGATTAAAAGGACTCAGACAAAACCCTGTGTCATAAGGAAAATTCCTGTTACTTGGAATGCATACTCAGTTCTTCTTTATGTAAACTTTATACAAATAGCTCTGGTTGAGAAACCTCAACTAATTCAAAGCTGGGCTACCCAATAGGAACCAGCATAAAATACTACAAGAACCATACTAAAATACTACAAGAAAAAAAGGTGAAAGAAACAAGAAAATTAAAAGGCAGATAAAGAATGCTTATTTCAAAGATAAAAATTCTTGCCACGCATGTGAAAATTATGATTATTTTCCTATGAATTAAAAAAATGAAGCAATTGCCTTTATAAAATGAGCACAAAAATAAAATAATTGCCTTTTTGAAATAAGTTCAGGCACATGGCAAGACATTAGAAGATGAAATGTAAGCTACAGAGGAAAGAAGTGAAATAAACAATTTAAAAATCACATAAAATGAAGACAAAATTGGATGCAGCACAAGAGACAGTAGATATTGCTGAAAACGAGAGATGGGGGTGGGGGAGGCAAAATAAAAAGGAAGTAAAAGGACAGGACTAGAGAGAAAATGACTAGTGGAAGATAAGGCGATTCAACATACACATAATTGGAGATGATGAAGAAGAAAACCAGTATAATGGCACAAAAAGCAGATTTAAAGGTATGATTCAAGGAAGATTTTCCAAAGATGAAAAGATCTGACTCTTCAGATTGAGAGGATATACCATGTCTCAGTAAAAAATTGACATAGGAGAATCATCAACACTCAGCTATCCTAGTAAAGTTACTAGAGTCAAAGATAAAAGAATCATTTGGGCAGTTGAACCAAAAAGATCGGGCTACTTTTAAGGGTAAAAATTATCAGGTTGACGTCAGACTTCTTAACACTAACATTCAACAGAAGACAGATGAGCAAGGCTTCGAGGAAGGAAGGTATGGCTCAAGAATTTTATAGTCAACCAAAAACCTTTCTTGAAGAGATGCTAGAAGACCGACTGACTAAAGACAAGCAATGACTAGAAAAAACTATAGTAAAAGGACTAAGGGTAAGCAATGAGTTTATTTTTGTCTTATAGGAATTTAATTTGAATTGGCATTTTGCGCAGAGTAGCAAACATTTCAATGGCTCAATTTTTTTTTTTTAATTGCAAAGGTAAAATATTATTATAACTGTGGCAATAGCAGTAATAATGATGATGGCTACCGTGCATTGAGTGACTGGCATGTGACCGGAAACTGGGATAAGTGCTTGTGTCAGTTGGGGTCAGACAGGGAACCAGTGGCTCAGTGTTTAAAGACTATAAAATCCTAAAGTTAAACAGTAGTAGGATCCTACATTGGTAATTTCTTGTTAAGAATAGGTCATTTTTTTAAAAAGTGCTGTACTTGAGACGTAAAATAAACATTTCAATTTAATAACAAAATTAAACCAAGAACTTTCAAAATATGTACTGACGGTCACTTTGTAAGTAGAATCATTATGTAGGGGATAAATACCCAGTTCACTAACAATGCAAAATAATAGCAGTAGTTTCAAAATTGAGATTAAATTTGGGTAATAACACCCTTTCACCACATATTGCGATCATGCCGTTCCATTTGTTCAGTACCCCCACCCAGGGCTGAGCAGGCTCCTGATGAATCTCTTTTAAAGATTCCAAATCTAAAAAGCTACCACCATTTTTAGACAATGAATAGAAAGTCTTAAGTGCACAAGGAGTGTGATCTTTTTTCTAGAGGGCGTGTTTAGATGTCCTAACAAATATTTCCAGTCACATACCAGATTCATCTAACCCAACTGTGTACATCAAAACTTGCTAACTTGACTTTGACACGACTTTAATGGGAAGCATCTGAGTTGCAAAACGGAGCTGCAGTGCTAGGTAGTGATGGTCTAACTTTCCTGCAAGCTGCCATAGCATTGCACTGGAACGTTCTTTATCACCCAAGTTGTATAATAAAAAACATTGTAATTCACACTCTCCCCAACTTCCTTTGTGAGAGTGTAAGTCATAGGAAGGAATCTAAATTTTAAGCACCTCTCTTATAAATTTTTTCAATTATTAGTGATTTCTTTCCAATATCATTCATAAACACACTGAAATGGGTTATGTTTTCTTTCTCATGAGCCTTGCATGTTCACATTGTACTTTGGAGTTTCAGGTCTTTTAACACTTAACAAGAAACCATGTGCCCAGTTAAGTTCATTATAGAAAAAAACAATTGCTAATAGAAGGTTTTTGTAAACCACTCTTTACAAACTGACCAGACAGCCATAGAGCAAAGGCTGTCTGATCAGTTTTCTAACCAGGAAAGTTTGAATCCAGCTTCTCCTCTGGCCAATGTATGCTACAACTCATTATTCCCTTTCCTAATACCTGCAGAAGAACTTGCTTGGCTGCTACTTGCTTGCTTGGGTGCTGAATGGGTCAGGAAGATGTTGCAGCTCAAGTAGAGGCAGCTGTGGCTCCTGTGCTCATGTGGTCTCATGGGGCACATGGAGACCTCGAGTCCTGTGTAACTGCCAGAGCAGTGCTGTCTATACACAGTGCTGCGTGGGCAAAACCTGGAGTTGAGGGAAACCATTTTCAATATCCTGTTGGTCACTGTTATCTTTCTGGCATATCATAATGGTAAAAGATGTGACTCAAAATAAAGATATTAGTGTTATAACTATTTATGCTCCAAAGAATGTCACATCAACAATCACAAAGTGAAACCACAGGATTTAAAAAGGAATAATAGCCAGATAATAGTTAATGGTAAAAGGTTTTAATTCCTCTTTTTCACTCTATAACAGATAACTAAGAGTGTAGAAGATTTAAGTAATATGTTGTATGGTAAATCTAATTGATACGTATCAAACTCTGAACACCGAAAACAGAGCAATGACATCTTTTTAAGTAGCCACAGGAAATTCTTAAGACTTGACCATATATTAGACCATCTAAAAACCTCAATACAATTCAAACAGTTGAATAGTATTGTCAACTTTCTCTGACCTTACATGCAGTAAAACTAGAAGTTAAAAACAAAAAGAAAATACCATCATCTGGACATTTAAAGAATTTCAAAAAACTTTTCAGCCAAAGGTGAAATTTAAACGGAAACTGTAGGATATCTAGAAAATAACAATAATGAAAATACCATATATTTGTGAGATTATAGCTAAAACAGTGTTCAGTGAAAAAAATCATAGAATTATATAGGATATTTAGAATCATAGAATTACATTAATAAGAAAAGATGAAAGTTAGTAAATAAGGCATGCAACTCAAGAAGTTAGACAAAAATGAACTGAAAGCAGAAGGAAAAATAAAAATGAAAATAATTTAGAAAACAAAAATAGAACTAATAAACTCGAAGATTTGGTGGTTTGGGTGAAAAACAGCTGTCAATTAGACATAAGCCCACTTGCTACCTATTTTATTAGGTGGAGAGGAGCAAGTAGAAGTATCCAGATACAGGAGAATGAATAGGATTATAAGAGGGTTCTTTGCTCAACTAAGTGCAAAAGAAATTGAAACTTAATTGTATATATTAATTTTAGAAAATCTAATTTACTAAAAATGATTGCAGGAGAGATAATCTAAATAGACTACCACAGTGGGAAAAAAAACAGTTTGCAGAGATGCAGTCCTACACAAACACCAGGCTCTGACTGATAGGAGAATGTCATCAAACCTTTTAAAGAACCTGTAATTCCACTATTTAAATTGTTACAGAACACAGAAGAAGAAAGGTGCCAAGTTATTTTTATAAAGCAAGTATTTTGACACCAACACCTGACAACAATTACACAGAAAAAACTACAGACTAATATTCTCCCCTATGAATATTGATGCAAAAAAATTTAAATAGAAGATCAAGAAACAATCTAGCAGCACATTGAAAGAGCAATATAACATGACCAAATGGAGTTGATCAGAACTATACATAGTTCTCTATTGCAAAATCTATTCATACAATTTATCATGCTAATATATGTATGAAATCTAGTTAAATATATTAAAAGCATCCTAGATGTCAAAGAGACATTTTTAAAATTCAATATCTTTTTATTCTAGATTCTTTTAAAAAGAGCCCTCTTAAATTAAGGGTAAAATAGATGATCCCTTACATCGTTCAAATGCATTTATCTTAGTCGGAGCACATGGTGGTGGCAGTGCACTCTGGAGCTAGGCACTGAGGCTGCTAGGAGTAGGAAAAGGGCATAGATCTGCCTTGGGCTGGGGAAAAAAAGTTTATCTCAGCTCCAAAAATGAGCATCTTGCTTAAAGGTACAAGGCAAAGATAACCTGACCATTATCATTATTCTTCTGAGTTTAGAGGTAGCAGCCAACATATTTAGAAAATAGAAACATAGGTAAGAAAATAGAAGTGAAAAATGGAAAGGAGGAGATAAATTATTACTTGCTACTGATATCATTATACAACTGGTGATCCAAGAGAATCAACTAACAACTATCATAAGCATTAAGATAATTCGGGAAAGTAACTGGGTACAGTATTAATATATAGAAATGCTTAGCATTCATATATAAAATATACATGTGTGTGTAAGTATGTATGCATATAGTGTATACATACATGTGTGAATGCACGCACGCATGCACGCACGCACACACACACACACACACACACACACACACACACAATGGATGGTGTGTGATAGAAAATCTCTAGAGAAATACACCAGAAATTAGGTAATACCGGTCGCCTCCAGGGAGGGAATTCTGTGGCAAGGGTCCTGGAGTGGGAGACTTTTCACTGGTATTTTTCTTTACATTTTGATGTTTGTACCATGTGACTGTATTACCTATTAAAAATAAATTTCAATTTAAAAAAAAAGGTGTTGAGCCAAGGAAGATAATGTCTATGTTAGCGGCCTCTGTCTGTTTGCTTTCCTGAGGTTCTTGACTTTGGTCC